TTTTTTACTTCAGTTTCTGAAATATAAATTGTACAATTTAAATACCAAACTTTGACTCCGAGTTTTAAAACTCGGATCGGTGATCGACTGAGCTGGGCTCCAGGTCACCAGTCTAGGTTTCAAAACAATGCTTTTACTTTAACAAATATAGCTTTCCCAAAGAAAAAAGAAAAAATCCATAAATGTATAAGAAAGGGCTGACAAACAAAGATTAGACAGAGGTATGTATGTATATCATCCACCGACAAGCTAACCCCCAACAGCAGTTTTTCTACATTGACATTTTAACCCTCATCCCTTCACATAATAGACTGCCGCCTCATGTAAGTGTCTTCGTGCACGAACATCGGCCCCTGTGACTGAGGAGGAGGAGGATACTGTGGCTGCCCCATTGCTATCCCACCCTGAGCGGGTGGCCCCCACGAGCTGTCATTGTTCTTAGCGGCCGTGAGGATGAGATAATACACAATCCCGAGAAAGACACTGGCGAGCGACAACACGGCGGCCCCAGCAAAAACGCCCGGCTTCACGACATAGCAATAATAATACCCCAAGTAGAAATTCTCTTCCCCGTGTTGGTCATTGAGAGCCGCACCAGTTAGCAACAGAAGGAAAGCCACAACAAATGTGAACCTGCAAAAGATGGCATAATAAATAAATAGATATTTGTACATTTCCTTTTTAGTATACTTCCATGAGTTCATGTAATTAGCCCAAAAGAAAAGAAAAAAAAAAAATTTACTTCATGAATAAAAATTTCCTTCCCAATATCTCATTCTAAATGATAGGATCATCTGAATATCATAAAATATATCAACAAGAGTTTGTACAAGCTATGATTTCTAATGGCAAAAGACTCGTCATCAAGCTACACACAGCAGTCCCTAAAAGGAACATCGAGTGTCATTATCACCAGGAGTTATGGTTATCGAGGACTTCATCTAAATGTTTTCTAACTAATATGCTCCATCTTAATGTTTTCTAATCAATTGGGGTTGACTAAGTGACTTGTTGAGCCATAAACACCTGCACCCTGTACAAATGGGAATATGAAGGTAGTAATTGAGAATTTTACCAGGAAACGACAAAGCAGATAAGGGCTAAGGTCCAGCTAGAGCTTGACTGATGTGGGCCTTTCCTACAACATATGCATCCAGTTGCGACATTTATGATAATTTGAGCAATCATGAGGGCAACAGCAGCAGTTAATCCAAGGCCTAGTGCAGGACTCCCTGGATACACACATTCAGACGGCGACGTAAATTTCACTTCATCCCCCTGCATATAACGAGTGATTCGTC